TAAATTCCATGAAGTGATGCAAGTGAGCGTGGGTTAAATCCAATACTCAGCCCTTATGAGTACTCATGAATGTTGTAGCAACTATTGCATTGTCTAAAGCACTTTAGACAAATCATACAAGCCAAATTCATGAAAGTCTTGATTCATATCTACTTCCAACATATGACAGACTGTGGATGGTTTGAATAATATGATATATACCATAACATAGTTATTCTGGAAGTCAAAACATGCAAAGTGAAACACAAGAATAATACTTAATCCTATATGGCCCCAACACTTGGGTGTAAATAAAACAACTTTTATCTAATCACCATATTGATTACTCATTATTTATGTTTCGATTAATCAACTTTATGCTTGTATTAAAACATTAGTTGTCCCATGCTCCAAGCACGTACACTATGTTTTTCCAAACAACAATTATGCCATACTCCAAGTATGCATACTATGTTTACATATGGTCCTCTCTTTGTGAAATATATCAATTGCCAAGATTCCAATGATGCTCATTTCACAATTCCAATCCTTGTTGTAAATGCAAGAAGACCAAACTCTTGCCATTTACTGTAATCTGTTAGATTCTAAACTTATATGCAATGATCCCCTTGTAATGACTATGCACAGAAGTCACAAAGACTTGGCAACAGACATTACAGAGCATTCCAATGGAAAACAATTCTATGGAAATGAAGTCTCAAATTCAAAGTACATTCTTTTGAACATCCTTCTTAGCATTAAGTTCTTTAATCTTACACATATTTAAAGAATAACTTCCACCTATGGAGACAATTTGATATTACCATTTTGACCATTACTTCTGAACAAGAGTTACCGCTTTTCAAAATACGTCAATATGGTCCTTATTCTATACTCCTAATTGTCTATGAGCAACCAATCTTTAGTAAACCTCAGATTGTCCTCGACAATTTTGCTTAATCATTTTAGTCATTTCCAGTTCTATTCCTTTTTCCATCTTAATGCCCTAGGCATTTGGAAAATTTAGAATGGATGAATATTATAGCATATTCAATTGATCTTATATCCGAAGCATATGGGACACGGTTCATGCTATAAAATTTTTATTTGCCATGTTCTCACAATTCGAACTATGAAGAGATATGCCGTAATCATAATCGAATTTTGAGAACGCATCATATATAGAATTTCCTTATGTTGAACCATTCCAGCATAACATTCATATATATTCTTGACTAAAGTAGATTAAATTCTCAATCTAAGCTTGTAGAATTGGAGTGAAGTATATAATCCTCTCCCTTAATTATAGCAAAACAACTTTTCAAAGCAACTTGAAACTTTTGTTTTCTATAAATAACACTGCTAACTTGCAATACTTAACCTAATCATCATGCTCCCACTAGCATAATGATTACCAGCATAACACTTTATGCTCCCACTAGCTTTGATATATACTCAGAAATCAACTGGACTTCTAGAAATCAATACTTTATTGACTTTCTTACCAAAGTTCATATTTCTGATACTAGATTGCTTTGATAAGAATTTATCAAAAACATACACCTTTCCTTAGATAGCTCACATGTTTCTCTAGACCTTTTGCAATTCTCACTAGTTAGTGTGCCGGTTAACCACACACGCTCCACTAACTATATGAGAATGCCAATATCACAACCGCTATCTACTTAAAATCTTCTTAGTGGAAGCGTTTCTTTACCATCATTTTCATGAATCGAAGAGAAACCTTATGACACTTAGATTTTATGGTGTATGTGTTCTTTTCCATGTGAATTTTGTCAAAACCATAATCACATGACTAGGTTAGTGACACTTCAAAATTCATATGGACTGAACTTGTGCAATCTTATTTTCTTGCCACCTGGTAGCACAATGCCCACCATTGCTTTATTTCTCATAACCCATGGGTTTGTAACTCCCATGGACTATCCATGGAGCTCCATATGGTTATAACCAAACCCATAAACAATGGATCATTAATCCACCATAAAAGAATTGATGATTGTCATAATCAACCCTATATATTAATTAGTCTCACTTTGATCACCAAATTAATACTTGATCAAATACTAATTAAATAATACTATTATTAATATATTAGAACATATAATATATTAATAATCATAAGTGCCTTATTCTCTCATTTAGTCTATCCAAGTATTGCAATGCCATGCAACCCAAATGAACCATGCCGGGTCGGGTCAAGTTCATACCAAATAAAGTTATGGACTTAGACACTATATCCAACAGGTTTACCACGTAAAGTTTCCAACTTTACGTGTACATATGCATGAAAAAGGATATAAAGGCTAAAAAGGCACTTAGAAGAGTAGATCTAGGGCTATCATGCAAAATGGCTCCATAAAGGTGATAGGTCTACGTTTTTGGAACTGAAACATGGCTAGATCCGAAGGCTAATCAATCTAATGTGATCTCTCTACTATGAACAAGCTAAGGAATGGATAAAATGGGCTAAATATGCTTATAAAGGAGAATCAATCATAGAAACAGAAGGAATCCGATTATTACCTCAATAAACTCTGAAATGGGTGCAAGACCTTGGATCTTCTTCTTCTCCTTTGGATCTAGCCTCCTTCTTCTCTTCAAAACTTCAAGATTCACACAAGAAATGCTCAAATACTCAAGGGAATGGTTAGGGTTTGCTAAATGATGCTCTGAGGGTGAAGGAGACGAGTTTGGGGCTCATAAGATGGTTTAAATAGGGTGCAAACCCGGGGATTTAGGGTTTCTACCTGGCAGGCGGACTCGCCGAGTCCCGAATATGGACTCGCCGATCTAAACACTGCTCAAGATCCCATCTCTACTCGACGAGTCGGGCAATAGACTCGCCAAGTCCCTCTGCAAACTTCTAAATAAATAATATAAAAACAACATACCATAGACGGATCGTTACACTATGGCCCGTAACATTCATTTTTCCTACATGGGGTGAACATAAGAAACCAACAAAAGTTGTGCATCCTAGCTTTTTTCGTACATTTTATATAGACATCATCATAATCTGTCTTCTTTCTTCTTTTATCAGTCTTGCTATCTGTGAAAGAATAAATAATATTAATAACCTATATCCTTTATCTTCAAAAAACAAAAGCAGGTTGAAAACACCTTTTCATCACCATAAGTAAACCAAAAAGTTCTTCAATATAAATCAAAGATAAGGTATGTTCACTACTTATCAACTCTTTTGAGAGAAAAGCAGTTGAAAACACCTTTTGATCACTCATGGCCACAAAAACTTTGTTGTCCTCAACTCTTTTGAGAGAAAAAGTAGTAAATGATTCAAACCCTGGTGGATTTGACAGAATATCCATGGTTTCGTCTTTGACATGATGTCGAATGTGTTTTGTCCACATCATGAAATTGTTCTCACAAACGTTGTAGTTGAAGATTCTTTGATTTTATGAAAAATACTTAATCTGCATCATAATGAAGTTGAGGCGTATGGAGCAATTAGTAACAGAGGAAAAGTCACTAAAAACATTAAAAAAATAAAATAAAAAGAATGAATAATTGATGTTACCTCAGACATATTTGAGGTTATAATATCATGAATGGGGTCAGTGGTATCCGATCCACTCGACTATACTCTCAGCTTCCTGTTCATCATCACCTTGGTATTCCTCCAAAAATTGCCCGAATTGAAGAAGCAGGAGGAACATATCCATAAACACTAAATTCAAAAGAAAAAAAAAACATGAAGAAAGAAGAACATATCCATAAACCCTAAAAATAGAAAAGTATGTTGTTATTTTCTGCAAGCTGCCGTAAATTGTAGGAAAAACTTCTGTAACTACATGACACTACACAAGTATCATTTATTTGGATGTGTGTTTAAACTGATTATTATAATTTGCATAATTTGTAGACTTGTAGTCGAAATATACATGTTTGAGTATTTAGGTAAAAGGTATTATGATTATGATATTCAAAAGCAGAAGAAAACTGATAATTGGGATATTTGTAAAATACTTACCTATCCCTAGCTTTAATCAATTGATTATCTGATTATATTTCCTTAAGTCACACTTATAACTTTTTGAATGTGCATCCAAACACCCTTTTAGTCTAACTCTAGCCTATTAGACCATTTCTTGCACCAAAATGGTGTAAACAATGATTCATCTATGAAATATTACACCATTTTTAACATCAAAAACAATATTCTAGGCGTATTACCAAATGAAATTATCCTCATATAATTAATTATCGTATTATTAAAACACCGACTCTATTATAATAGAATTATAACCAAAATAAAGTATTTGTGTATGATTAGTTTATAATTATGTCAGCTGTGTGTTTTTCATAGATTATTAATACTAAGATACATATCAATTATGTGTCATATAAAAAAAAACATAATATTTTTTAAGTTTTTTTTACAGAAATTATAAAATAGATTTGGGACTTATCTGATCAAGGTAATGGCAACATGCTTTCCTTGAGGGAATTCTGCATTGCTCTGTATTTAATGGAAAGATATTATGCTTCTTTAATTACAAGAATCTTTATATAGACTTTTTATCGATTGATATTTTATTCTTTCCAATCAAACCATAATAGTTTTAATCATTTTTCCAAATTAACCAAACATGATCGGAGTGGTAAAAAAACATAGAAATTTGTTTTTTTTAGAAAACTTCTACTCCTTTAACGCCTAAGCAGGGATTATTGGGACATTAGTGGTTGATTTAATATATCAAATGTATTTTTTCATAAACCATGAAAATTAAATTTTATATACTATAATATTATTCTGAATATTATTACCTATCCTCTTTAGGCCCCCCACCTCAGCAAGTGATCCCCGCTGGTCATATTTTTATGTTAACAACATTTAACCCCCACTCTTGAAATCCCAATAGTTATGAAATCAAAACTGAAGGTATAAATTAAATCCGTTGCATAGAATTACAAGAAATTATACCAAATCATATTTACTTTCTAATTTCATAAGAGAACTGATGAAAAAAAGTTCACCTTCATAGAGCAATGAAATATTTTTGCCTGACATTTAAATCCCCAATCTTGTTCTTGAGTTTTGTTCTGTGATACACGTTTGGTACATAAGGTTTTAGAAATAAGATGGTTTTACATCCTTATAATGAAATTAATTAAAAAGAAAGAAAGAAGAAAGTCGCATACCTTGGTCGTTCAAAACCAAACGACCAGAGAACTCCCGAAATTGTTTCTTCAAACATCACCCGGCTACGTGTCGATTGGAGGAGGAAATGGAGAGATAGCGAATAAATAAATAAATAAATAAACATTATAGGGTTTATAGGTAGCTAGCTATGTGCAGGGGTAATAGCTTAAGGACCCTCGGAACATACCAGAAATATGCACCCCAGAACTCATAAACGCAACTACAGTCACCGCAATCGACATACTGGGGAAGATCAGAAAAGGTTGTAAGACGTCGAGACCTGCGAGGCCACCAACAGAGGAGGAACCATCGTCTTGAGTTCTCTGCTTGGCCGGAACAACCATCAGAATCCAGACGTACGACACCACAGGAATAAAGTAAACAAAAATACCACAACAGAAGAACCAATAGAAGAAGAACAAAAAAATATTACCTAGGACAGAAAGAAGCAATGACGTAGGGAAACAGAAGTGGAGGATGAATGAAAGAAAAAGAGAAAAGGAGAAGAATGGAATAGGAGGTGAACTCGGGGAATATATGGACAGAGATAGAACGAAGGACGAAGAAAATATAATAGATATAAAAGTGAGGTGTGTGATTCCATAATAGGCAAAGTGAGACGCGAGTTTAATATATTCACCACCATTGTCGGAAAAAAAAAAAGAATTGATTTTGGTTTGAAAATAAGTTTCAACAAGTCTTTGAAAGTGTGTGACGGTGATAAGTGAATCTGATTTGTGTTTTAAAGGGTATAACCATGTGTATTTGGTGTAATGGTCAACAAATATAATGTAGTATTTGAAGCCATCGATAGATTCAACAGGTGAGGACCAAAAATCGGAGAAAATGAGTTCTAAAGGAGAGGATGATGTAATAGATGTAGTATGAAATGGAAGCTTGTGAATTTTATTGATACTGCATGAATTACAATGGTCTTTTATAGAACTAATAGCAGGACCATAAGAAGATAAAAGTTGAATGATGTGAAAGTGGGGATGCCCAAGCCAATGATGCCAAGGTGCTGACTTGTGCGAGTTGAAAGCGAAAGGGTGAGAGTTGGAACGCAGCTCATATATTCCACGACTGGCTATCCCGTGTAGCAGGGTTTGTTGAATTTTGAAGTTCTTGATAAAGAAATGAAAAGAATAGAACTGGATTAGTATATGATTATCAAGACATAAACGGGAGATAGAGATAATGTTACGGGAAATATGCAGAACACAAAGAACATTAGTAAGATGAAATTTAGTATTAGAGATAGGGATTAATAACGAGCCAACATGAGCGATTGTGAGACACGAACCATCGCCAATGACCAAGTCATCGGTACCGTCATAAGGTGAGTGGAGGGATAAAGCATTAAGGTCGTTGGTGATATGGTGGGAGGCGCCACTGTCAAAGAGCCAGTCGGAGGATTGAGAGGTTGGGAGGTGCATCAGGTTAACCTGTGGAGTGTGGTTGGAGGATGGGCGGGATAGTGGTGGCAAATTAATTTGTGGGAATTTATTCTTGAAGGCATAGCACGAGGTAAGGGAATGTCCTTTGGTGAAGCAAAATTGACACTTACCAAGGAAGTTGTGGGGGGGATTGCTGTTCGGGGAGGGCGTTGGTAACAGTCCAGATGGATTATGGGGAGGGCGAGTGTGCCATTGCTTGGGTGGTGGGCGTTTGTTGGCTGCAAAGGCAGTGGCTGGTTGATGAAGATTGGAGCCAGCAGATGTTTGTACCAGTGACAATTCATGGTTGATGAGTTTTTCATGTAATTCATGAAAGGAGATGGAGCTGTCTCAGGCATGAATTGCATCGATAATGGTTTTGTAAGAAGTCTGGTCAAGACCAGTGAGGATGGCATCAGTAATGTCCTCTTGATCCATCTATTTACCAAGGCTGCTGAGTTCATCAACAATTGTTTTGATGGATTGCATATAATTAGAGATAGATTGGGTGGGAGTTTTGGTAGTTTGCTTCAATCGCTGTTGAAGCTGCTTGATATGACCATGAGAAGGTTTAGCATAGGTCTCAGAGAGGATGTTCCAGGCTTCAAGGGAGGAAGTGGCTTTAGTCAGTAGAGGGACATTGGATGGAGATAGCGTACCTACGAGAGCACCAAATAGGAGTCTGTCCTGGTGAAACCAGGAAGAGTAGGATGGATGTGGGGTGGTAACACCATCAGTATTCATGGGTTGGGGAGGGAGATTTGTGCCATCGATGAATTTGTATAGGTCTAAACCGTGAAGGAGGGCTTCGATTTGAATCTTCCAGCTTAAATAGTTGGTGGAGGTAAGCTTGAGGGAAGATGGAAATTGAACGAGAGTGATGGAGGAGGTGGGCGATTGGAGGTTTAGGGTTTGATTATTTAGTGTTTGAGCGATAGAGGAAGAAGGATGGGTTGCAGCGGCGGCGGAGAAGGGGTTGTCGTCGCTGAACAGGGAGGCGGAAGTGTGTGAATCGTCGCCGGTCATTGAGCAATTGGGGGGAACCTGACTGATACCATATAAGAGATATAAAAGTGAAGTGGAAAAGTTAATTTCTCATTCAATGGTCGTGTAAATATATACATCAGACGATCCTATATTTGAGGACCTGTTATAACAAATTGTAGACTAATTCTATACTGACTAATTCTACCACTAACGTTAAATAAATACATAATAAAACATGTGTGTAAATGAAATAGAGCTATGTGTTAATAGAAAATAGGAACAATGGAATAAGAAGAGAGATAGAGAGCATAGATGAGAGGGTAGTTTGGAAGAGTAGGCGTTTAACACGAATGGATTTTTGGGGTGGTGGGTGACACGTGGACAAAACACGGATCACTTTCTGAAAGAAGCAGTGCATTACACCTGGTAACCCAGGTAGACAACCAACCTGATAAAGACCACGTGTGCACTAACAATTTAAATAATGATATAAAAGACCCAAGGCAACAAACAAGATGAATTTGAACATACAGAAATAGATAGGGGACTAATTTTGCCAAATCCTTAGCAAATTTACTGTAGCTAAGGTAGGAGAATTTTAATATATATATATATATATATATATAATAATAATAATAATAACAACAACAACAACAACAACATATTTATTGTAACGCCCGTAGATCCGGGCTACTCAATTTAGAGGCAATAAGTGTCGAAAATGACTTTTCGGCAAAATATTATTTAGAATAAATAATCTTAACCAGGTTGTAGTATATCTCACAAGTTTTCCATAAATATAAAGACCGCCAAAATCCGAGTTATAACGAAGAAGTTATGACCCGTTGAAGTTTCGCTATGGAACCAACACGATGCCGGGAAACTTAAATAGTGAACTTACGATAGAGCGAGATTTAGCCTTAGCGATCTAAATCAAAGTCGTAGAATATGTTAAATAGAAAGCGTCCATAAAAAGAACGCCCAAATCTGACTTCATATGAGGAAGTTATGATTTTTCGAAGTTTCGGATTAGTAGTGTACAACCGAAATTCGAATATTAGACCGAGTGGTTTTTAGCTGACACAAACAAAACGAGAATCGAAGATCTCGTTATTAGTAGCATAACGATAAAAAGAAAGACGAAAATGGACATCGGATGAAGAAGTTATGAGACTTTAACGGACCAATCATATATACGTACACACACACACACACACACACACACACACACATATATATATATATATATATATATATATATATATATCATTAGAAAGGTATCGACGATGCGGTCATTATAAGACTAATGTTGAGTTCTTTCGACATTAGTTTAGTACAAATATCATTAAATCCATTTAAAATAGTATTATAGAGGGGTGTTTAGTTGTTTATATAACTAAAAGGTCATTAAGTAATTATGAAGGGTAGTTTTTGAAAATTCAATTAGTGTAAATAAGAGCCTTGGGCTCTCATATTTCTTACACCATTCTCTTGATTTAAGAGTCTTTATCTCCTTATCCCCCGAGCATTTCGGTGACTTGTGATTCGACTTCTCTTTCTATAGTTTTCAGTATAGTAAGGTGAGCGTTGAAGTACTGCGCGGATCTTTCTTAGAAAGATTCAGCAACGAAGTTCTGCCCCTGCAGAACCCGACTTCTAGCTAAAATCTCATTGTAAGTTATGCTTACCCTATTTTAAATATAGTTTATATTTAAAATTAGTATTGTTATTATAAATTTATAATAAATATTTGAGCTATTATTATAACTTATATAAGTGTCGTTATAGTATCTTTTTAACTACTCGCAGTACGGGGAATCTGGTTTAAAGGGCCGCATAGGGTTGTTGGATTTCATAAGTGCTATATGCCAAAATGGTCATGCCCTCCAGTGTTTTATGTCTGGCCTCTGTCTGTACATAGTGGTTGGAAAGTATTGTTTAAACGCTTATATAATAATAAGACTAATAATTAGTCATGGTAAATAATAGACTAAAATCTAGTGGTAATAATACTAGGTTTCGTCGAATGAAATTATTTTACAATAAACGAAGCGCTGTCCGAGTACCGAGTCACCACCTTCTCAGGTGAGTGCATAGTTACTTTCATCTTACACATAGATATGAAGTATATTATATAAACTATGTGCTATGTTTGTATATTATATGAATACTTGCTATCTGTGCTGGGTGAAAGATTTTCATACATGTTTTAAATTATTTAAACTGTATACGTATTTTATATCTACAAATATGTTAGGTTTAACATGGGTAGATGAATGATGAGAGATAAAAGATGATATGAGTGATCATTGGCGGCTATAGACTTGGTGTCTATTGAATAAATGTTGGTAGCTGTGGACTTAGTACCTGATCAATAAACGTTGGTAGCTATGGACTTAGTACCTAAACACTGGTAGCTATGAATTTAGTACCCGATGAATGAACTTTAGCAACTATGGAATTAGTGCTTTATGAACGAGCATTGGTAGCTATGGACTTAGTTCCAGTCCTATAACCCTGGAAGCAAAGGACTTCAAAATGAATGAATGCAGGATAGATGACTCTTAGGGTAGACTCTTAAGAATAAGGAAGATAATGGGGGTGGGTAATTCGGTTGATTGTTTGATTGTTTAAACATAATAATTAAATTATTGTGGGTTGAAAACCCTATGTACTCACCAGGTTTCCCAACCTGACCCACTCAGTTTATTTATATCACAGGTGTTGTTACGATGTCACATTACACTGTGAGATTAAGGAGATGTAAATCACTAGTGATAATGAATGTAAGTTCTGTTTATGCTTATGTTTCTTTATTGACGATGACATCCCAAATGTTTTAAAATGAATAAAAATACTTTCTTCGGAAATCTTTGATAACGTATTTATCATGTTTTACTGGGAACAAATTCCGCAACATTTTTATTAAAACAGGTACTGTGATTTTTATAAAGCATAAACAAAATTGGTTTTTTCTGGCTGTGAAAATAGGGATGTCACATTTATAAAAGACTGTATTAACATGTTTATTAATTACCCAATCTACTTCTACTTGTGGTGTACACTAACCCCGACTTTCTTTAAAGAGTATTTGTTTCCAACTGCCAATATGTTGCTGGTCTTATCCATTTTCTTTCTATAATAGGCCAAAACAATTAATATATTTATATAAGTGTTAATGTAAATTTTATATAATAAAAATAAATTTAATTACCTCCTGACGGTGTCTGTCTGCATATGATCTACTTCCATGAAAACTCATATATGGAAGTTAGGCCCTACTTTCTTTACCTTTGTCACACTGATTCCTATAACCCTTCTCCAAAAATGACGATCAATCATGTCATCCCAAACTTGGTAGTCCATATCTTCTGATGGACATTCTCTTGCACCTTCCACATCATTATATCTGCCAACTTCATCAAAATATTTTTTCAAAACATGTTTGAGTTCTTTATAAGCTCTTTGGCAGTCGCTATTTATAGATGCTCAAACAGCTTCCCACATACATGTACCCCAATACATATCAAGATTAAAAATGTTTGCAATTAAAAAACAAATTTAATTAGAAAAAAATATAAAAAGTATACAAAATTTCATATAAAAAAGTATTGTGTACTTACTTCGATCTCATGATACATAGGCTCATTAAAAATGTCCCCAAGACCTAAAATGGAGTGGTACATGTTCTGCCACATAATTTAAGATAAATATTGTCAATATTTTTACATTTTCACCTATAAATTTATAGGTTTCCCCATCGCTATCAAATTCCACAAGTAATGGTTTTGTACCGTTGCTCGAGAATTTTTTCCCCATATTTAAACATGTTCCCTTACCACACCGACACGTCGGGTTTTCTACGTTGACACATATAATTGAAAATTTAGAAATTTACAAGTTTAAAAATATATGAATTATAATTGAAAATTTAGATATTTACAAGTTTAAAAATATATTCAATATATTTAAGTATTTCATGTAACTTACAAGATTCACAACCCACTAGTATCTTGCCTGTGCCCACGTGTGGAGGTCTTTCCCCGTCTTCTCCTCCATGCCCCCTTATGACATGTGTTGCCATCTGTTTAACAAATATCAGAGAATATATTAAACACACTTAAAAAAAACTAATAAAATTTTTTAAGCAATCAAAATGTATAACAACCATAAAATACCATCAATCAAAATCATTACTAGAACAATATACATGTACAAGATCATGATTAATGAATTCGACATAATTTATGAAACCGTCATCATTATCTGAAGAGTACGTATCACCACTATCATAGTTATCATCAATGAAATCGTCATCATTTATGTAGGATCCACACTTGATTCACTATCTTCATTATTATCTAAAGAGTACATATCATCACCACATCAAAGTATGTATAAACATCATTGCATAAGTTAACAACTAAGG